TGATTTGTGACTTGACATAAAAGCCATTACGCCAAGTAGGCCAGGCACACAAAGGACAAATACTGCATGATCTCACTTATATGTAAAATCTATAAAGAATCCAAGTCCTAGAAGAGAAAGTAAAACTGTAGCTGGCAGAGCCAGGGTTAGGGAAAAGGTACAGAATTTCTGGTATAAAATGAGTAAATCCTAAAGATCAACTGTATAACATTGGAAATGTAATTAATAATGTACTATATACTTGAACATGCTTACTGTGTACTTGAGAATAGACATACTTGACACAATTTATGTCACAGATGAATATGTTTTCTTAATTGTGGCAATAACTATTCAAGATATAGCAAAACACTATGTAGTGCATCCTAAATGCATATAATTCATCAATCAGATCTCAGTGAAGCTAGAAAACAAAATAAATTCAAAATATAAAAATATTAGTAATTTTAAAATACTAGTAAGAGAAATAGTTCACTGCTTCTTTATATAGACAGAATAAAAGTCATCTTGGAGTGAATTATCTTTGTTCTTGAAAAGGTCATTTGAGTGAACTGTCTTAGAAACAAACATGAGATTTGTCCTTCCTCAGATTCTGTAAGGTGGAGAATGATCAAATTGCCATAAGAGAAGGAAGGCACAGACTGCAAGCCTCTCTTCCTAAGATTTCAATTTATTACAGATCAGACTGACTCTGAACTAAGACTGCTGGTGAAAAAGGATAAAGACACCCCCAAAGTGAACTCTCCTTGAAGAGAGAGACTGGGCCAGTGTCCTAGGCGCCATAGCAGGGCCTAAGGGTGATTAAGGTCTGGCTTTGATAAAGCAAAAAGCCACCTTTGATGAAGCCATTCTGAAGCTGATCACGCCTTGGAGAAGGAAGGACCGTGGAACATTCCTTAAAGATCTAGCCATCGTCTTGTGTCCTAGGGTAGGAAACCATCACAGTAGTGGAAAGATTCAGATGAACAGTTCAGCTAAAGAAATGTCAGAACCGAGAAACTGGAAATAAGACAGCAGTCTCTTTGGTGTCTGGAGAACAACAGGTCAGGGAAGATGTACTGAATTTTCTTAAGCAATGAAAATAAAAACAGATATGTGGATACGCTGTGGTCCAAGATAGTGAACGCACAGTTTTCCAGGGCTGACGACTAAACTCAGGGCTTGGCATATGACAGGGAAATACTTGGCCACTGAGCTTAAAAACTGATTCTGAACATGAACTCGATTATCAGAAATGATAAGTTCAAATGCGACTACACTTAGTTGCTCTAACTACTATACTTTGTTAGTTTTCTTCTTCATTTTATGAATTATGTAAACCTCTTCCCTTCTCTACTCAGTTCTTTTCGACCTGCTGTCTCTAGTTGAGCCACAACGCCCCCCCCCCACCTTATTCCTTCATACTAATCTGTAAATTATTTGCAAATTGAGGCCCATGACTGGTCTCCTTTGGCTTAGTTTTTTCCTCTAAGGGAAGAAATCATGAGCCTGCCCAGATGGGAGAAATGGCAAAGAACTTGCATCATTATATTAAAAACCACAGCCTCCCCACTCTGGCCACAATTTCTTACATTCCTTCCAAATGCAAATATCCTCTCCCAGGATCCCTAAAAGCCTCATCCAAGTATAGCACCTGGCTCAGAGGTTGGATCTTCGCCTACCAAAAATTCCTTTAACTAAATCACTGAGTTAATTAAATACCTTTCTAGCACTTCCCACGTTATCACCAGTAGTACAGTTGCCAGACTTCACCACTGCAAAGCAAAGTACCCTTCCTTTCTGTTTCCCATCTTGTTTTCCTCACTATCTCTCCAAACTTTCACCTGCAACTTCCTCTGAATACAAGCAGCTTCTGCACGGAACACTGGTTTTGAAATCAATGCCTGTATTTTGGTTTTGCTAAGCCAGTCCCTCCCTACTACTAGGTATCAAGTTGTGTTCTGCTCACTGATTTCTGCTCCCACAAATCCACTGGTTTAATGCCATTGTATTTTGTTCTCAGTTTGGGGAGTCAGAAGTTTGGAGAAGGTTTAGCCCTGCCTTGGGGTCTCTCACACATCAGATGTTGACTGGGCACCAGTCATCCTTCAAACTAGGCTAATTATTCCTTGGGGTGCAGCTGAGCCTGCTGACCAGGTCTCAACAAGTGGCTTCTCCAGTTGGCTTGTGCTCATCACACTTGGTTCCAGGTTTTATATGAATGGTCTTGTCACTTTCCTATCTTCTTAGCTAGTAGGGATAATTACTGCTGGGAGAGATTGACAAATGAAACTGAAACTAACTTCGGGTTCCAATTTCAAGCACTCCCTAAGTAAAGATATCAATGAACTAACCCGCTCAACTAGCTATCCATTTAGAAAGAAAATGAAATAAAAATGTATTGAATGTTAAAATTCTGCTGATATTATGCACATAATGTTAATGCAAAGAGAGCAAAAGATAATTTGCATAATAAATATGCCTGTTCTTTTGTCTAGTTAGTACAATAATTGAACAGCAGCCATCAGGGAAGTAGGACAAAAAAGGGCTATTAGCATAAATGTGAGTTTGATCTTTCAAGATTTGATTACCTTCTACCGGACTCCACTCCATCTACTTGAATAGAGGTTCTGCTTTTCGTCAGTTGAATGTTAAGTGACTTTCATGCATTCAAGTATTACCCTGGCTGGCCATATTCAACCCAACAAAGAACAGTGTCTACTCAGCATATTTTGGGAGACACACGGCTTGTTATTGCTAACACTTTCAGATGAAAAGATCGTGGCTAGATGACAAGTCTGTGAAGGTCCTGGTTTAACAAAAATGGCAAAGCTTGCCAGAATACATATCCAACACAGCATCATTTTTCCTCCAATGAAGGGATGTATGATTATAAGTTAAAAATTCTAAATGCTTCCAGTAACCTTTGTCAATCATTTCCTTCCAAGCTTCCTTTAGTCCAAGAGTGGATATAACAGAAGAATTAAGTTTGGTTTTGGAATCAAGCCAATAAGCTTATTTGCAGTCAGGATGAGGAAAGTATTTATATTTAGTGATTTTTTTAAATCATTTGTTTTAAGTTTAAGTAATGGCATCAAGAGTAGTGGGGAATCTCCCAATTGAATAATCTTTAACACCAAACATAGTTTTTTTCCCTGAGGAACATTTCTCCCACAATTTGTTTATGCAAATTAAGGTATTTACAGGCTGAACCTGAGGATCTTAAACAGAAAAAGCAAATTTCTTGTCTTATTCTGGAGGGAATGGTGGCAGGCACGCCTTCATTGTGTGTACAGGACACTGGCAGGGATTTTCCAACAAAATAGAAAGAAAAAAGCCATTGTGTGACATGAGATCAGCACTGGGCCTCGGCAGAGAGGCTTGGCTGATTACGGAGCGAGATCTTCTAATGGAAAGGTTCCAGGATGAAATTTTTGTGAAATTCTTCCATGTGCATTCGAACTTCAATAAGTAAAATTATAGATTTTGATAGAAACAACAAGATAAATTATATTTTTGAAAATTTATTAAAATTCAGAGCATCTAGATTACTTATACAATGGTAGGAAGTAAATTACTACCTAGTACTAATATACAGCATGGTTTGTGGAAATAGGTATTAGTCCATTTAACTCTCACAAGAACCCTGAAAGGTATATTTCTGTACTTTTCATGTTAGAAAACAGGTCAAATAACTATCTGGTCCTTTCTCCAAATAATATGTTAAAAACTCCAGATCTGCCTGATTCTAAATCTTCTGACTCTTAAGCAACAAATTTCAATTCTATAATAAAGTAAAAATAATCAAAATTATAAAACCAAGAAAGATATGTCCCAAAGTTAGAGGAAGTAAAATTCTACTTGTTGTATAAGAAAATTTATTGTATTATAAATGACATCCAACTTATAAACTATGTACTGTGCTTTATCTACTTTAATGTTTACAAACTAAAATATTTAAGTAAGAACCAACAAATGTTTTGAAAGATTTAGAAGAGTATATTAGTTAGTTTTGTGTCTTATGCTCTTTTATTCTTCTCTCTTTCCCTATTCTTTTGTCTTAATTTTTTTTTAATTCTCCAATTCTATATAGTTTTGTTTGGTATTATATAGACTATATTTTGGAGATTATTCTTAATTGTTCTTCTTAAAGTACTTCCTTTATTGGAAGATAAAATTGAGAACTGGGGAAAAGAAACTTACATTTTTCCCTTAATAACCCACAACTTTATGCTAATACATTGTGTACATTAACTCGGGGGAAAAGAAACTTACATTTTTCCCTTAATAACCCACAACTTTATGCTAATACATTGTGTACATTAACTCGGTACCATTAATTATGGTATTAGAGCTAATATCTGACTTTAACAGCCTTCAACTGAGTTAATACCTAAGGGACAGTACTTATGTCTCTGGGAAAAATGTGTAATACAAATTGTGAAATCATTTTCCTAAAAATATGCAGTCCAGTTTCTTTTATAGTTCTTTAAAAGTCCAAATAAAACATCTGGTTTTCTTTATTTTGTTTTCACTTTCTAGAAAAATATTTACCCTAACAATAACAGAGTATTTGTTTCTCATGGGCAAAGAAAATAGAACACTTGTATGTCAATGAATTATTTTGTAAAATTCTTAATTGTTACTTCTTTTTAACTTGCTTATAGAAAGACATGCTGGCATATTACTCAAACTGATCTAGCCCTACTACTTATTAGTCAATAGCAAAATGAATATTTGATGCTTAATAGAATTTAAAGGATAAAAATTATTATTAAAAAGCTCTTTTCTTCCTTCTTTGTAATTGCATTTACTTAAGTAACTTTGACTTGCATTTGACTAAACTTCTGTGTTTATTTTTATGTCTGCTACCCAGTGAGTCCTGATAAGGAGTATTCCTAACCAGAAAAGATAACAAGTAATAGTAAAAAGACTTCAGGAAGAAAATAATGTTTCAAATGTGACATTGATTTAGTGTCTCATTAGCAAACAATAAATAGTCTATACCTGTATTTACTCACCCATAAGTCCTAAAAGAATGTAGCCCATAATAAACACTAGGAAGATCACGCAGCACACAAAATCTGTACAATTCCTAAAGACAGAAAAAGAAGAAAGGATTAAAAGTGATCCCAAAATGATTTGTCTACTGCACAAAAATACAGAAAGGGAGAAAAAAGATGACAGTAATACACTATTGGATATCCAATAATCCTGAACAGTAGATCAGATATAGTTCTGTAGTCCTAGACTTTTGTAGCAATAGCAAGGTTATATATCTATGCTTACAAAAGCTCCCTCTGAATTCCTTCTAGCTTCTGTGTTTTACAAATATCTCTAGAGAGCAGAGTATATCAGCATCAAGTAGATTTTTTTTTAAAAAAATTAAAATGTAGTTTAAGCTCTTTGAATTTCCTTTCCACATCTCCCCAGAACATGGCATAAAGTAACTAGCTATTTTCCATTCTTCTTTCCCCTTTTTGTTTCTCAATATACATTTTCATGGCATGATTATTAAAAGATTGATTATATCAATCTTCTATGATGAGTACAGTTACAACTATTATAACAATGGTGCACAGAAAGCATTAAAAAGTGAAATTCTCCCACCAACTGTAATTTTGCAGAGATCCTGCAAGTTATGTGTTGTGAAATTTGGTGTAGAGAAAATCTGGTTCCGAAACACTCAGTGATTTGCTGAAGGCCATAGCCACACCAGCATCCAGCAGAGACAGAAGGTTTTCTCAGTTTGGAAGGGCAAAGCTATGTCTTGAAAGTGAGCCATGATAGTGTCCTTGTTGGCCTGAAACTTAATGATGAATCCATTCGTAAAGAAAAAGATCAGCCCATTCGGAAGGATGTAAGAGTTGCACATCAAAATTTTCATAGAAGGTCTCGATTGTGAGGGCATGTGGATATGCTTTAAAGTTTTAGCACAGGCAATGTGAAATGCAAACTTGTTAAGAAGTGGTGGCAGCACAGTAGCAGTAAATGGCAACTTCGCACTAGCAGACAGTACACTGCTTTACACTGGCGAAGCTCGTTATACCTTTATTGATACCAGACACCCCTCTGTGTGTTTCCTAAGAACATCTTCACGTTACTAGAGGTAGTAAGGAGAGGTGACATGAGGAGCCCAAGAAGACAGTTACAGAAGCAAGTAAATATCTCAGTCTGCCACACCTGTTTTCATTTAGTTACACCAGCATGACTTGACTTTTCCATAAATATTTCAAAGAGCTACACATGAAAATAATCACACATGTTCCTATAACTCTTTGTAAGTTCTAGATCCTTCTTTGGGGGAAAATTGTAGCCAACACAGAAATAAATTATTCTTTAAGTCCAATTTTAACCCAGGAATTTCTCATGTCATTTGTGTTTCAGAATGAAAAAAATCATAATAAGAGAAAAAATCAGGCTCCATAGCACTTAAAAATTTTTTTTTTTTTTGGTTAGCAAGCACTGAAAGCAGCCCCCTCCTTAGAGGTGGGGAGGGTCTGTCTCACACATGTCTTACATGGCCTAAGTCAAGATCAGGGATTCTTCTTCCCAAAGCAGCTGTTAAGTAGCTGGACACCTAATGGTGATGCCTGTAGGCAAGATGACAAAGAAGGAAAGCTAGAACACTAGTGTGGTTTCTGCGGTTCTCAGAGCCCTTGTATGTGTAATCACAGCTCCCCAGAAGACAGAGAAGAATGCAGTGCAGTACAGCCAGGCTGGCACACACGCTGCTGTCATGCATCCATAATGTTTCATGTTGACATCTGTAGCTTTGTATTCTACATAATACATACGTACTACAGATCAGTACATTTAGGATGTTCCAATGGTGCATGCTATCATAATGTCAGGTATTTATAGTGTTATATAGTGAGCACAGGCAGCATCCTAAAAAGGCGAATAAAAGAAACTCACCAGTTTCAAAGGATGGAGCAAAAAGAAAAGAGCAGAACCTAAATAGAAATTTTATAGAAAGTAAAACCCACACTCCTTTACTAGTGGCACTGATAAATAGGCACCCAGTTGAATTTCGGTTCCATGTGGAGTTTGAGGCTCTGATCCTTTTTCCCTTCTGGTGCTGAGGACACTAGAAACCATAGAGCACTAATCCATAACCATACAACCACCAACCCAGTACACACACCACCATGCACTTAGCATTTCTCAAGCATCCACTGAGAAGGTGTCTGGGGGAATCCAATTAGCAGCCAGAGGGGATAATGTCTTCAAGTCTGTTTTGTTTTTCTGGTGCTCTGCTTTAAAAAGAAAGTAGTGGGCTGTGGTCCCCATGACCAGACAGCTTAATTTTATCTTATTTAACCTAGAAAAATGCCAAATCAATGAAAGTTATGAATACAGCACTGAAAATATCTCAACTAGTAGGAACATTAGTATTTGTAAATTTGTTCTGGAAGTGAGTTGATTCCTTCTAATCGTTTAGAAATTGTCTTTCAGCCATTGACCAGGCAACTGAAGAGAACAGTCTGAGATTGGTTCCCCCTCCATCCATTGATGGGACTCAAGAACTGGAAACCCCTGGGGACACCAGCAACACAGCAGGACCCTGGCTAGTGTGCTCATGATGGACAGGCAGGACTGGGAAGTCCGAAGTAACAGTAACACGATGAACAAGCAAGTGGGAAGTTAGGTGAAGCAGTCTTGTGCTTGGGGACAAAGACACACAGAATAGAAGCAAACAGGCAGGGCCATGTCCTTTTCTTCTTTTCTTTAATTTTTAACAATTATTTTTCATTTTTTATTTTCTTTTTGTTCCTTTTTAAGTGGCTGGGAAGAATTCCAGCCACAGAAAACTAACCTCATCTCCCAAATCCAGAGACAAAGACTAGACCCAAACCCAGCATACAAACTGCATACAAATCCACCTGCAATCTTGGCTAGTGTACACATTCTGGGATTGCATAGTGTATACACATCCTAAACTACTATCACAGAACTGTAGACAGAGGACTTTCATTATCGTTACTTTTCTCTGTCTGATGGGTTTTCCAGTGGGCTGTTGTCTGGGTTAGTGTTTTCATTTTTGTTTTATTTTCTTTTTCTCCCTCTTTTGTTCTGTTTTGTTTTTTCTTTCTATATGTTTGATTTTTTTTCAGTGTGTGTGGTTATTTTTGTTTTTGTCTCTTTTTCTTTTTTCCCCATTTGTCATAAAAGGTTTTATTTCTTCTTCTCTCTCTTGCTCACTATTTAGATCTCCCAATCTTCCTTTTTGTTTTATTCTACTTATCTTTTTCCTTTCTTTTGTCAACTATCTTGCTTTATTTTATGATACTTTCATGTGAGTAAACATAGTCTCTTCTTTTTCTAGTTTACTTCAGAATTCCTAGACTTTCTTTTCCAATCCTTTCCTTTTGTGTCCAACAGTTACCCAAAATGTGGATGATCATTCTATACTTTCCAACTTTACTCCTATTATATTTAACTTCATTCCTGTCTCTATCCTACTCCCCATCCCTCTTAAATACCCACCCCCCAAGAGGGTAAAATCACACTACTAAGTGGAAAAGCATTGCATGCAAGCTTCTGGTATAAGTTGGGTTATATTATATAGCTATCGAGTTTGTTCCTACAGTTGAAGATATCAGATTAATAGTTATCACAGTTTGTCAGTAGCCAGCTGTGCTTCCATCTATTGTTATAGCTAACTGTACTACTTTAACCAGGATGCTATAGCTCTTATAATCAGTTTTTCTCCACATACAACAATGCACAGATTGCAAGTGGTCATAACCATTACCATAGCCCAGTACCAATGGAATGGGACTTGGGTAAATAGATAGAAACTTAATCTATTGGGAAGGTAGGTTCTTGAGGTAGACATAAAGACCAAGAACCACCTACCTCTAGAAGACATCCTGAGGAACAGACATCTCCTAAGAAAGCCTTGACAGCAGGGATAAAGCTGTCTAACATAAGAAATCTACAAGCATCAACATATAAAACAATAAACTAGAAAATAGAAAATAACAAGAATAAACAAAATGCAGCCCTAAACACCCAGCCCACCTAGGACAAGGCCAGAGCACAAAGAGATAGAGAAAATCAGAAGCCAACCACTAGAACTCTCTGAAATTATAGCAGCAGAAGTGAAAAAAAAAATGGAAGAGGCCATAAGAAAAAAAATCTCTAAGGTGCAAAAAAAAAAAATGACAACCAAAATGAAGGATATTAAAGCAGACACAGAGAAAAAGTAGAGGGGCTCAGGAAAATGACAGAAACCATGAATGTCCAATATAGACAAGAAATAAAATGAATGAAACAGAACCAAACAGAAATCCAGAAGATTAAAAAAAAAACTCCATTGAAAATACATGCAACAAACTGAATGAAGGAAAGGATAGACTATCAGACTCAGAAGACAGAAATGCAACTAGCAACTGGGAAAAGAAAGGTATCTCAAAAATAGGAAGGGATCACCAACAGCCACAAGATAAAGCTAAAAAGAACAACATAAGATTGATTGGAGTTAGTGAGAAAGCTGGAGACAGCTCAAAAGCCATTAAAAACTTCACAGAAATAATGGCAGAAAACTTCCCAAACACGGATAAAGAATTTGACATACAAATAAATAATGCATATAAAACTCCAAATAGCCATGACCAAATTAAATCTACACCAAGGCACATATTAATAAAGATTCCAGAAATTCAATACAAGAACAAAATATTAAAAGCAGCAAGAGAAAAGAAACAAATCACTGATAAAGCAAAGTCCATCAGAATCACTGCAGACTTCTCAACACACACACCTTCAAATTAAGGAGAACCTGAAGTGGGGTAATTCAAGCCCTAAAAGAAAACAATCTTCAACCCAGATTAATGTACCCCACAGAATTGTCTTTCAAAATCAACAGAGAAATACAATACTTCCATGACAAACAAAAACTGAAGAAATTTATGACTGCCAAATCAGCCCTGTGGAATACTCTGAAAGACACATTAGAGATAATGAAGACCACAAACACATGAACACCAATAGAAAGAAGCTGCTAAGCAAGGCAAGCAATTAAACAGAGGAGAAATACAGGGAACCAATGACAGGAAAGCAACATTTAAAAGAATAGCCAATGAATAT